ATACCAGTAAATAGATTTGAGAAAATACGCAGTATGTTACACTTCAATAACAATGAAAATCATTTACCAAGAGAGCATCCAGATCATGACAAACTCCATAAGATTCGACCTGTTATAGACCATTTGAATGAGCGCTTTTCAAGTATTACAATAGACCAAAGACTTTCACTGGATGAACAAATGTGTTCATCCAAAATAAGACATTTTTTAAAGCAATACTTACCCAACAAGCCCCATAAATAGGGGTTTAAATTGTTTGTACTTTGTAATCTTATGGGATATGCCTATAGTTTTCATATTTACACAGGCAAAGAATCGCATGAGAGATTGCCAAATGAGCCGGATATAGGTGTAGTAGGATCCACTGTTATGAAACTATTGAGAGTTGTACCGCGACAGCAAAATCATATTGTCTATTTCGACAATTACTACACATCACTTCCTCTCATGTATACACTTGCGAGAGAAGGAATTCATACTTTAGGTACTATCCAGCGGAACAGATTAGGCAAATCCTGTAAGCTACCTACAAAACAAGAAACGATGAAAAATTCTGTACCAAGAGGTGCTTACGAGGAGTATACTACTAATTACGAGGGAGTTGACATAACTACAGTGAGCTGGAAGGATAATAAGCAGATTGTTTTAGCATCGACATATGTGGGCGCGGAACCAGCTGGAAAAGTAGAAAGATATGACAAAAAAGAAAAGAAAAGAATTGATATAAAGAATATGGGTGGGGTTGATTTGATGGACTCATTTCTTGGCAGACATCGGATCCGAATGAAAAGTCGCAAATGGTACATGAGAATTTTTTACCACCTTGTGGAGTTAACAGTAATCAACTCTTGGATTCTGTATAAAAAAGTCCACGAAGAAAAAGGCGTGCCATCTGCCAATGTTTTGAGTCTTGCAGATTTCAGATCTGAACTAGCTGATAGTCTTTGTAAATATGTACCTCCAAGTCATAGGGGTCGTCCTAGTTCTAGCAACCACATTGAAGCTCCACCATCCAAAGTAAGAAAGGGTAAGCCCTGTCAAGTCCTACCACCTCAAGAGATGAGACTTGATAAAGTGGAACATAATTTAGTAAAATCAGACTCTAGAAACCGATGCATGCTGCCATCATGCAATTTATTGAGCATTAACAAATGCAGTAAGTGCAAAGTGCACTTATGTTCAAAAAAATCAAAAGATTGTTTCACTACGTTCCATAACTCTGTAAATATTTAAATAATAGATTTATTCATGACTAAAAAATTTGCTGTCTAATTTTCTTTCATAATTCTAATATGTTGTTCCATTAAAATATAAATAAAACATAACCAGCATCTTTGTTTTTAAATGAACCCCTAATGCATAGTGTATCGAAAACTATACAAGGAGTTTTTATGTAAAAAATAATTATTAAAGGTAATAAATATTTTATTTACTATTTTTTCCTTTATCTAGGCATATTTTTCTACAATACAATATATTTTTTTAATACAAATTAAGTGATTATGCATCAAAGGGTTTCAAGGCATCAAATCTACAATTTGTACTTAGTTTAATGTGTTTTTAATTGAAAACTCCTTGGTTTTAAAAATCGAATACCATTTATTTATTAAAAAAAAGATTCTCGGTCTTGTCACAAGGTTTTGTCAAACTTGTTTAGTCGTTGAGAAAATGGAATTGACTCGAGAAAATTCAAGAGCGATGATTTATTATGACTTTCGAAGTGGTTTAACACAAAAACAGTGTGTTGACCAGATGATTTCTGCATTTGGTGATGAAGCGCCATCCAAAACCACAATTTATCGCTGGTTTGCTGAATTTCAACGTTGACGTATCAAGCTCAGTGATGATCCCCGTCAAGGTCGTCCAAAAACTGCAGTCACCCAAGAAAACGCTGATGCTGTGCGTAAGCTGATTGAGGAAGATCGACATGTGACATACCGCGAAATTCAGGCAACTTTAGACATTGGCATGAGTCAAATACAAATAATCTTGCATGAACAATTAGGTGTAAAAAAGTTGTTTTCCCGATGGATACCGCATTCGCTCTGTGAAGAGCAAAAAGCGGCTCGCGTTACTTGGTGCATCAGAACTCTCGACAGATTCCACACAGGATCCTCAAATGCTGTATACAACGTCGTATCAGGTGACGAATCTGGATATACGCGTACAAACCCGAAACAAAAAACCAGTCAGGAGTTTGGGTGTTCGAAAATGAGTTAAAGCCAACAAAAATTGTTCGTTCACGGAGTGTTGCAAAAAAAATGGTGGCCACGTTTGTCTCCAAAACCGGCCATGTTACGACTATCCCTCTTGAGGGACAAAGAACGGTTAATGCAGAATGGTATGCTAGCATTTGTTTGCCACAGGTCGTTTCTGAACTCCGTAAAGAGAACTGCAACCGCCGCATCATCCTCCATCACGACAATGCGAGTTCTCACACCGCACACAGAACAAAAGAGTTTTTAGAGCAAGAAAACAGAATTATTAGACCATCCGCCGTACAGCCCCGACCTAAGCCCTAATTATTTCTATACTTTCCCTAAAATAAAGAATAAATTGCTTAGACAGAGATTTTCATCACCTGAAGAAGCTGTGGACGCCTACAAAACGGCCATTTTGGAGACCCCAACTTCCGAATGGAATGGTTGCTTCAATGATTGGTTCCATCGTATGGAAAAATGTGTCAAATTTCGCGGAGAATACTTCGAAAAGCAATAAATACATTTTTAAATAGTAATGTGAAGTGACACACTTCCTTGATTCCCGAAATTTTCAGTGCCGCCCTCGTAATTTCCGCTTTACTTATTGGATGGCGGTGAACGATAAAGCGTGGCAAAACATATTAAAATCCTTAAGAATGTATTATTATTTTATTTCTACCATACATGCTCTTCTGGCAGTATAAGGTGAATCAACCAATGAACTGAGGATTAATTAAACTTCGGTCGCATAGAATCGATGATTATATGATAAATGATTTAGATTTGTTTAAAACATGTAACGAGTCGGTAATGAATAAAATCTCTGACCAAAATACATTCACATTACTTTCGTTTCCGTAAATTATTTATATATTTAATTTTAATAATAAGTATAGCTTATGGATAAACTTTCATTTTAGCTAGGGTCAATTAATATTTTTGGACTTAATTACATGCGGTTATTTTACAATAATCGGCCAAATTTGCAGAGAAGGTTCATAATTTTATGTGTGGTAGAACCACGCTCGACCGGGGAAGGACTACGCTCTCACAGAATACCAGCTGTGTTTCGTTTGGTGAGTGTAGAGAACCGGAGACCCTTTTTACTGGAAACGAGGCATTTCATCTTAGTCCTTAAGGGTGGCAACGTCTTTGCAGTTTGATTCTCAATTGAGGATAAATGTGGATGTCTATGGACCACAACTTCCTCTTACCATCAGGTGGACTGTGTGCTCGTTTGTCACCCTATCCTATAAAAAAGTAATATCGGCAAATGGTGAAAAAACAATAATAAAAAAACTCAAAAAGTCTGTCCTTTTATCTATTAAATTCAAAATGCGTGGTAATGCATTATTTTAACTGATTTTTCTGCGCACGCACACATTCGTAAGGGTCGATCGGTAGGCAAAAACGTTGTTGCCCATAAATCACAATCAATTTGGGATAATTTCAAATAAAAGTAAAAACCTTATTTACTTGTATTTACAAAAACTGCAATAAAGGTATATCATTTTGAACATTATAATTTGTACAATTGAACCTTCTATAATTGAACATAAGCATTGTAATTTGTGAAATGTGAATATTTTTAATAGGATAGGGTTAAAAATGAGCACACAGTTCACCTGATTTAGCTTAAGCTACTACTTACTTACTTACTACTACTTTAGATTAAGCTACTATTTCACGCTGGTATTCTGTGAGAGCGTAGTGCCTTCCCCGGTCGAGACAACTCATTCGTGCTACAACTATGCTACTAATATGATGGCTTTACCACGTATATAATTTTTATTTATTTTATTAAATCTGTAAATCATTCACGCTATTATTATTATTAAAGTCTCTCATTTGTTAAACTCATAGTACTTATAATAATAAAAAATACTCGGGTTCCATAACTGTATTTCAAAATCATTTATTTCTATTCAAATGCGATTTGCGCAAACGGAAGGAATGACCCGTTTATGCTATCAATATATGACTGTGACTGACTCATCGGTCTAATGGTCATTAGTGCGACTGCTGATCATACGGTCCCGAGTACGAATAAAATCATTTATTTCTGTCACAAGAAATTCTCAATAGCCGCCCGGAGTCGGGAAGAGGGCGGTGTTTTCCTCCGTGAGTCGGAAAGCACGCAAAGCCGTTGCATTGGTCCTGCCCCTTATCGCTCTCCGGTGGTGTTGAGTGTGAGATATTTTAGTTTCATCGCACTATAAGATTGAGAGAATAAAAAGTGCACTAATGCTTGAGCACACTCTCGTGCATTGAGTTATATAAATCAATGCTCTCTTGCACTAACCATGTCCTGTGTAAATGACTAGTTTTCGTTGAGACTGGCCACTATGATCGAATTTCGGTCTGGTGGGTATTTTTCTTATAGAAGAGGGAGAAAACAAGTACGCGGTTCACCTGATGGTAAGTGTCGATCGCCGCCAATGAACAACTGCAACTGCACTGTAAGTACGTTGTCGGCATTTTTAAAAGAAGTGCTCGTATACTGCGACTATGACAAAAATCCATCCGAAAATCTAATACAATAATAATAACACAAATATCACAGATTGTTAATGAGAAGCAAAAATACCAGTGTGACGGTAGTGGCTCTGAGTACTTGTACCACAGATTAAATCTGTGATACTACGTAATTCCAACTGACTGTTCTATCCAGCGTGGTGAGTATTGACAAAAAACTCCTAAGTAATACATGAAAGCTAGTAGTTCGCGTATCCTTGGAAACATGCTGTTGATAATGATAATGATGAAAAACACACAAAAAAAGACAAAATTTTTACGTACCAAAGGTTGTTCGTATAAAAAGCCGCAAGAGAGCAATTGCAGCTTTCTTCTTAATTTTGGTGATATTGGCGAACCAGATATTTTTATCTCTTTCATAAGCGGCACACATTCTTGTAACAGGACACATGTTCCAGGTGTGCTGTCTACATTCGAAACACAGCTAGCTCCTGCGTATTCTGAAAATTTTAATTCCTTTTTCCTTATTTAATCGATTTTTCATCATTCATTCATTAAAGCTTTTCAAAAGATCACTGCTCAATATAGGCTTCACCTATAGATTTGTTTTAAAAGAAAATCAAATGATAAGCGAACTTGCAGACAATGAACTCCTGCTATCAACTTCAAAAGAAAGTACAGATGTGTCATCACTTCTGAAGACTAAGAGGGAATGCCACATCCTGTAAACATGCTAGCTCTCTTTACCCTTCAGACCTCAATAAAACAGCGCACGCACTGTTGCTTGAGGGCAGAAGAAGCTCAGCGGGTGTATATCTACCTAGACGAACTCCAAGGTAGTAAACGAATTCTACCAATCAGAGAAATGAACCTGACCTAGTGAATGTAAATTAAATGTCTTAGAAATTCAATGAACACAAGTAAAATTAAATCCCACATAATTAAAAAAGGGATTTATTAGTTTATTAAATTTGCGATTTCCCAAACACTAATGTTAAAAAGTAGGTAACTTGTTTACTCATTGGAACTCATAAGAACAGTTAGTCAATATTGCCCACTTCATTAGTCATCTACAATATTACGTATATGTATGTTTCAACATTTAATTTTGCTTGTTAATTAAGTAGTTTGGTTAATAATAAAATATGATCATCAGTAATAAATTGTAAACTTACGACATTGAATTGGTATTAACAGGAGCGGGTACAACACAATTCCACAAAGTAAACACTTCCACATTGTTAAATATATATTCCTATCTCACTCTAATGTCAAAATAATACTGCGCAAGAACTGCAAGTCAAGAACGTCTTAAAGTAGGTAATACAAACTTGCTAACAGTATAAATAGAAAGTACATACGACAAGAAAAATAATTTATCAGACTGGCCGCACAAATATTAGTCGACACATCTTCGGCATACAGGTTATATTCGCTTTCCTTTCGTTAGCACGAAAAACACAGCTTACTTCTGCTGGTCGATAAATTTTGTTCCGACGCTGCATGCCTTGATTTTGATCGTTCTATTTATTTTTAATATTTTTGAATGTCATAAATATTTATATAAAACTGGATATCGTGAACAAGAGGTAGTGGACTGAATGACGTGTTGAAGTTAAATCTACGGACGGCCATTTGCCGTGATGGCGGTCATTACCATACTAGTATAACAAGAAAAAGCCAGGTCTGTCCAACAGCACTCAAGATCACGTATGTAAAAGAATGTATGTGCAATTTTGAACCGTAATATCACAATTTTAAAAGTTATTTTCTTAATTATTTCTTTTATTAACGCGAATACCTACACATTGAATAAAACTAATTTTACGGATTACCACGTGTTTAATTTAACTTATTTTTACTTACTTTAATTTTCTACTTTGTTTTCTGTGTCGTCACACTAACTTAACTTTCAATATAATGTAGATGGGAATCTGGACACTTTTCCGTCTAACTTCCGAATAGGTTGTGCACTCCAACCAGGTGTGAATAAATACCATTTTTCTTGACCACATAAACGGGCTCTCCCCGTGTGACGAGTAATGACAAATAGTTAATGAGTCGGTGACTTAACGAGAACTGACGTTCAATAATATGAAATCGTTAAATTTCAATTTTATTACTCTTAATTAATACGACCCTATTCAAATCAATACGAACATTGCATTGCATAATCGAACTATTGTTGAATCAAACGGAAACTACCGTTTTTCCTTTGTTTTTACCAATGATAAACATATTAATATTATACCTATATATTGTTTTGCAAGTAACTTTAGTTTTAAAAGAAAATTATGGTATGTCTCTTAAAATTAATAGTATTTTATTGGGTATCATTGCGTATTCTCCTGCCGTAAATTTCCAAAAATCATAAATCTTTTGATAGCTATGCAGTTCAACTTTTTCTCCCTCAACCAATTCAAGTCAACTGCTAGGCACGCCCCTCCACTGATATGCCAGCAAGAATGCATTAATGACTAAGCTTGTACTCACTCACCAAACTGGGCGTTGGTGAGTGGAAGTCTCTCGCATTTGAAATGCTGCTTTTGGGACACGAAATGTTTTCAGATTATCTGCAATCCATCGGTTGACAGAGAGCCTCGTTCGTTAGTAAGCATGGTGTAGCTTGTAGAATACCAATACAATAGATCTATTGGAGTCTTGCAAAACACTAAATATTTTCCCTTTATTCGGTTAGTTTTTACTGTGCTACATTACTGTAGTATTATACCTTTTAGTCGTTTTTTATAGGACAGGGTGACGAACGAGCACACAGTCTACCTGATGGTAAGTGGTTGCTGTAGCCCATAGACATACATCTACATCTATCCTCGATTACGAATCAAAATGCAGATGCGTTGTCACCCGTGAGCACTAAGACGAAATGGAACTCGTAGGTATCCAGCAAAAAAGTTCTCCGGTTCTCTACACTCACCATACGAAACAGCAGCGTGTTAAGCTGCTATTTTACGCTGATATGCTGTGAGATTTGGGTCTTGGTGAATAATTTTCCGTAATGAGTTATCGATTAGAATAAATTATAGTTCCTTAGGTGTTACAGCAAACACAGGTACCTACATACTAACACGCATTATTTGTTACATTTTGTTCCATAACTTGCGACCCGCCTCGGTTTCCTCTAGATAAACAAATAATGGTAATCAAAGACCGTTTATTTTATCAACTGTTTTTTTTTTTCAAAAAGAAACTTTAATGTTTTGGATCAAATAAAGCCTAGATCTCTTCTAGAAGTGCTCTCTGTCTATTCGTAAAGTTTCACGGTTTTCCCGGATAGACAGACACAAACAAACAAAAATTTTTAAAACGGTTATTTATATCTCAATAGCATGCAAAAACCCTGTGAAGTAATTGAGGTAGATATTTTAAAATTACAAACTTGACATGTCAATCGGGAATGAAATTCATTTGAACCGGATCGCATCAAAGTATTGATGATTGCAATTGCATTTTTTTACTTTCCGGATCAAACGATTGACAGGATCTATGACCAGAGGATAGTAATGTTCGACGACCGACATTAGTCGTAGGAGTCTCACAGATCACAGAGTACTGAAACTCGAAATGATCCATTTGAATGATCGGGTCACTGAAATGAATGAATGACACATGTCTATTACAGATAGACACTTTAATTTATTGCGTTTTCCCCCAAATTGAATTGTAGAACTTAAAAAAAAACCGGCAGATCTGTAATGGTGATCTTTAGTAGTCCACTATTCAAAAAACACTTTTTAACTTTCCAATATGAAAAACAATGATTTTCAAAAAATCAGAAAGTTGTAGGTTTCGTATAGGTTTTCATATAATACGTGGAATTTGGAGCGTTTTGCATTTGATACTAGAGGAAAGTTCCAGGGATTTTCTCTAGGGTCAACCGTATTTTTGCTTATATCGAAATTTGTTATATCGAAAACTGTATGTGATAAAAGAATAGCTATATTTATTTTATATTGAAGATCTACTAATTTGACGCAAAAAAATGTCATCACCAATGGTTATTTATGTCATAGTAGCATGCTAATAACCCCCTGAGCTTAAAAGAAGCCAGTTATTTCTATAACAGACAGACACTTCAATTTTATTTATATCTATAGATATATACTGCTTGGTGTACTAGCCACCCGCCTCGGCTTAGTCTGGGTGGAATCTCTTAATATGGCGTTTTTTAGAATAAATAATCATCACAGAATAAATAGTTTTCGATTTTTAAAAAAAAATACGTGTGGCACTCGGTGACTGCCGCGGTAAAGCTATTGCATAGCATTTTTTATCAACTTATGCAATTATAATTATTTATTTATTTCATTTATGCAGTTAAGTCTTTGATATTAAATCAAGTTACACTTTTTGAGAGTGGTGACCGATAAGAAAACAATTTTTTTTCTCTTATTGAATAAATGAGAAGTTAATATTGCTTAAAATATTTTTAATAACTTACAACACATGTAGGTTATTCAGGAATTTTTATCATTCAGTTAGCAGCTAGTGTACACGCATACGTCTAGTCGCACGCACACAAACACCGTGCCGAACTCTGCCGAACTAAAACAAGATAAATAAATATGTAGCAAGCTAAAAACGACGTTAGACGATGCATGGCTTTCAACGCCACACTTCCGTGCCCGTCGGAGTGGGGAGCGTGAGGTTTTTTCGTTACGGAATTTCTGGATTCGGTCCCCGCGCTCAAGGCCCGCGATAGAAGCTATGCAATAGCTTAAAATCTCCAAGTTTTCACTCCTGGCTGTCTATTCGTCACGTTTCATTACTGACACACAGGTAGACAAAAACTTAAAAATTGGTTATTCATGCCTAAATAGTTTGCAAATATTATAGCTCAAACATAAAATTAATTTCGATATTACAAACAGAATCTTCAATTTTATTTTCACTTAGCACCAAGTTGCTGTGCTGAGGGCTGCGGGTGTGAACCCCATTTTATTCGATTAAAATACAAATAATTATTCCGGGTCTGGATGTTTCCCCTTGTTCAATTTATGTAAGTAAACTGCCTCTACAATACAGGAAAAAAATCTGGTCGCTTCCAAGCTGTTTCATAATAAGTTTTGTAACTAGTTTGTACAACCTGTATTTTATTGTTGAATTGACTTTGAAAAAAAAAAAGATGTGAGTTTCTTGCTGGTTCTTCCCAGGACAGAAGTTTATTCCGAACCAATGGTAAAAATTAAAATTAATTTTTAATAGGAATTAGATACTCGCTCTATATTGGATAGAAATGATTTTAAAATAAAATATGTATTCATACAAATGACAAATGAGCTTACAGTCCAAAGAACAAACAATCTAAAGAAATGAATGGGTGCATCTAACACACTCGGCGCTTCATAGCCTGTTATTATACCGAATCTGTATTCTTTAAGACAGAACATTACTGCATCTTAACGAAGGAAGTATGCAAAAAAGGCTTGAAACTAAACTTTAAATAAAATCCATGTTTAAGATACGCGACAGCTGTATTTCGATAGCAGCATGAATGAATCGTGTAGTAGCGGCGAAAGAATATCCACTACCCCGTATCATCCCGTAGGTGTCGTTAGAGGCGACAGAGGGATATTAAACCAGGACCAAACAATTGTTTGGGATTTACTTTCCAACACAGGCCGCTTGCCCTAATACAATATGCAAATCGATCCAGCAACCGATCCGAGTCTAAATCCGAGTTGTCGTTGTCAGCGAGCGATACTGTTATAATGTATCTATGTGTGTGTGAAATTGTTTTAATTGTTACGTGTGAGTTTCGTAGTGACAGACGATTGTTTTTGTGTCCGCAGATTTACCCCCGCAAAAAATTAATGACAGATCTGTATAGGGAAAAACTCTATAGCTACTTCCCTCCGGTACGTCGATGGCCCGTGTTGCTCTATATCTATGGGTATTAATATAGAAAGTTTTCTTGTAAGGTTGGGCTGAATAAATATATGAAAGAAGGTGGTAAACATACGTAAATATACATTAAACATAGTAAAATAAATAAATAAAATGATAACCCAACCAGATAGAAGCTCTCAGCAAGAGAGACCAAAGGGTCGAGGGTTAGGGGGAATAGAAAAGAACAGGCTAGGCAAATAATAAAACGTCATCGATCACAGTCCTTTGCCTAGCTGTTTAATCAAATGGCTGAATATCATTCAGGCCGCTAGTTGAAAGGCGCTGTTTTGTAAAGAGGCTAGGTTGTTGATTGAACGTCTAATTAAGCTAGT